GATTCCAAATCAGGAAAAAGAGTTGGGAGAACAACTTATATCTGTACAGATCTGAAAGACAATACCCACTCTCTCTCTCCTCTGAATTGTAGGCTAAGACCCAACTAATGAGGTCAACTGAGCCTCCAAAGATTTGCAGTCTCAACTGGACCTAAATTCCTGATCTCAGCTTAAGTGCCATGTCCTTGGGGAAGCCTCCCCTCATTTCTATTCTCCTGTAACTCTCTTATGTTAACTTTCCTTTTTTCCCTCTGAGTATGTGTGATACCTTATTTTCATGATTATTTGATTCAAGTCTGTTTTTGTTGTTAGGAGCTGTCAAGTCAATTTTCAACTCAAAGACACCTCATGTGACAAAGTGGAACTTCTCCATGGGGTTTTCTAGGCTTTAATCTTTATAGAAGCAGATCACCAGGTCGTTCTCCCTGGAGCCACCGGGTGGGTTTGAGCCACCAACCTTTAGGTTAGCAGCCAAGCATTTAACCGTTGTGCCACCAGGGCTCTTTGACTCAAGTCTAACTTCTCCATTAGGATAAAAACCCCATGTAAGTAGGAACTTTGTTGCTTACACTATACTCAGTGTAAATATCAGTTACATTGACGTTGAGTGGCAATATTGAGTGGCACCAAGACTGTTTGTCCTCCCCTATCTGGTGTATAAAATCTTGGGCTTGGGGTTTTTGATGTCTATAATGAGATACTGAGGAGGCTGGTTGTGACCCAGTCGACTCTCAGAGAAGGAATAAGAGCCCTTAGGATCTAAGGCAGTGGTTACAGCAGCAGACCAGCTCCTGGTCAAGTTCTTCACGCCCACTTCTTGCCTCCATTCTCCTTGGCTAACCCATGGGCACTTACTTGGACATATTGGGAAGAAGGGAAGGGAACTTGGAGAAGACTTAGGAAGTTGTTGAGCTCTGGGAACTTAAATAGCTTTGCAGAATCTCTCTCCATGAGTCAGCCTCATCCTGGAACTTTCACCTAATTCCTATGGCATGGGCTATGTGATATGGTCAGTGACTACATTATAGCAAATGATAGCATCACCAAAGTTCCTATCAGTTAAAGGGTCATCTGGGGTCATCAGGGACCATGTCTGTGAGGAAGGAAGGGTCTGGAGGCTGTAATATGGTGGTGGTTCTTAGAGGCCATCAAGTTGGCCTCTGATTCATAGCATCCCCAAGCATAAGGAAACAAAATACCACCCAGTCCTGCACCACCCTCTGGTCGGCTGCAGATGGGACCTTTGTGATCCATAACGTTTTCTTTCATTGGCTGATTTTCAGAAGAAGATCACCAAGCCTTTCTTCTTCATCTTTCTTAGTCTGGAAGCTCCACTGAAACTTGTTCAGCACCATAGCAACATGTAAACCTCCACTGACAGATGGGATGCAAATGAAGTGCATTGGCTGGGAATTAAGTAAAGTCTTGGGCGAAAATTGTGCAGCGGACCACCACTGCCCCCATAACAGAGTCCTTGTTATTCAATGTTGTTCAGTGCCATCAAGGCGTCACAACCCCATGTGACAGAGTAGACCTGCCCACAGGGTTTTCTGAGCTGCAGTCTTTACGGGAGCAGATCACTAGGTCTTCTTCTGGGGAGCAGCTGAGTGGGTTCGAACCTCCAGCCTTTTGATTAGCAGCCAAGTGCTTAACTGTCGCATCACTAGGGCTTCTATGACCTGGTTACCACAGATTGAATAATAGAAGCACCATTGACATAGTGAAAAACACATCTGGATTCTGACAGCCCCATGATGCAAGTCTGGGTTCTGCCACTCCCCCCCTCTATGAGTCTGGGCCAGTTACATAACCTCTCTGCACTTGAGTTCTCTGAAATGTAAAGTTACATTCACATTACATAAAAAGGATAATAATCTTACCATGTGGGATTTGTGGGGATTAAACTAAGTGGTGATACCGACCCATTTCCTGACTATGCAGAAGTATATAAAAGTGGCCTTGTTATAATTATAGCATCAAAATGCTGTGACGGAGGTAGGTGCAAAGCTTTCTTTTATGAGGGGAAGCAGGAATAACTTCACAGATAAGATGGCACTGGAGCTATGTCTTAACTGCTGACAGTAACAAACTAACAGCAGCTGTCTTGTGTATTACACACTAGACTCTGTGCTCAATGCTCTCTGTACATCATTAGCTTGGTCCAGCCTCACAGTGGTCCTAGGAGGCATATCGCAGTCCCATCCACAGATGGAGAATGGGAAGCTCGGAGCCTGACTCTCCCTGAGCTCCCCCAGCTACTGGAAAAAGCCAGGATGAGGACCCAGTTCTGTTTGATGCCAAAAGCCATTCTCTTCTCAACAACAACAAATACAATACAATAAAATAACAGAAACTAACCTTAACAGCTTCTGTAGCTGACAACACTGGGGCCAAGATGATGACTGTGCCCGAAGCCATAGGTTCTTCATGTTGAGGTTTAAACACATGGAGCCCTGCTGCCGTCTAAGAAGTTTTCACTCAGAGATGCTAGGGTTTTGAACCGAGGGGAAGCAAGAAGAAGAAAAGGGGCAGGAGATGAAGCCATGCCTCCTTGGCACACTTTTGGTTTTATGATCAAAACAATGAAAATGTTGATGTCAAAACAATCCCTAAAAGTCCATGGTGGGGGAGTGATTTGGAGAAGGACAGTGAGAATGGCTGAACAACTTGAAGAAGGAGGTCAAGGTCACTGAGCTAAACATGGAGGTATAGTTGTTTGGTGTTTTGTTGCGTGTATTTTTACCGCAGTAAACAAAGGATCCCTTAAACAAATAAGTGAAAACCATCTGTCTGCTAAAAAGAAAAGAAAAACCCATGCTCTTACTCCTGAACCGTCCAGCTTCTCCTGGCTGTTGTGTTTGAGTTTTCCAGGAGAAGCAGAAGGAAGAAAGGGGCTGATCCAACATGGCCCCAGAGGAAAAGCTTGGCTCTCTATGTATGTGTTTCCATGTTTGTTATCACTGGTTTGGGCTTTGCCTTGCAGTGTCGCTAACCAATAGTTCCAGAAAGGCAGGAGCGTCATTCCTCTTGTTCCCAGCCTGGGGCCAGCGTATAGTAGGTGTTCCATAAACATATGTTGAATGAATAAAGACCCTGATGGGCTCAACATTCTCCCCAGTCCATGTAACATACCATAGCGTGAGTGGATGGGCATGTTGGCTTAACTAAATTCGTCTACTGCCTGTCCTACCGTATAAATAGAGCTGTCAGCAAAGCTGGACACATCTGTCATGGGCCACTTGAGGTGGTTCTCTAAGAATAGCAAGAATTGTCCAGCCTGGATGATGAGGTCATCTCAGGGGGCCCTGAGTGCTGTCTCTCCTCCCACCCCCCCACCCCTCCCGGTGTCCGATGCGTCTCCACCCTCCTTAAGAGCCTGACCTTCATTCCAGGTGAATTGCATGTTGCAGGAGGGGAGGGGAGTGGTCATGTCAACAGACAAGCCGAGACTCACTGTGTAGCTTTTCAGACGCAGTGTGTTTTTCTTGAGATCAGTATTACAAATACAGCGGTGACCTGTAGGGCCAAGCCATCACCGTTGTTCATGGGAGCGGGAGGAGGAAGACGGAAGTGCCACGCGGGAGCAGCTCTCTCCCTGTGTGGGTGTGAATAATGCCAATAAGCTGTCAAATGAAATTAAGGTCCAAAACATACAGCCTTGCATTTGATTCCACTAAGATGCCGACGCTGCTCAGAGGGGGCACGATCGATCCTGTTTGGACAGGTCTTGATGTACGCTAAGCAGTAAAACTCTCCCTCTGTGCAGGGTTAGGAAAAGTTCCCTGAATTTACAGCTTCAGTGGGAGCCTGTCTGGGATTCAGCGGACACCTCTGTTTCCTGGCCAGCTTTGTCCTGTGTTATCTTTCCCCTAGCCCTCAATTTCTTCTCACTTTTCCACTTCAGCTTTCTCTCCTTTGTTGCTCCTTTTTTTCCCCTTTCTTATCCCATTGTTAATGTTCTTCCATTTTGCTTTCTTCTTTCCTTAAAAACATGGTAGGCCATCAATTTGATTCCAACTCACAGCAACCCTATGTAACACAGTAGAACCACCCCGGAGGGCTCCTGGGCTGTAATCTCTGTGGACGCAGATTGCCAAGTCTTTGTCCCACACGGCCACTGGCTGGGTTCCAACTGCTACATTCACGTTCTCAGCTGAGCGCTTAACCACTGTGCCACCAGGACTGCTGAAGAAGAACGTGGGGTCCCCACTATGTGGCAGACCCTGCTGAAGGCTTTTCATGTATTGTCTTATTCAGTTCCACAGCATCCTTCTACTGAAGGTGGAATTGTGCCTGTTTTTCAGATAAAAAAAGAGAAATGGATGATGGTTAAGGGCTCGCTGATGCAGAGGTAGGGATTCAACAACCCAGACCTTCCCGATTCCAGAAGCACATGCCGTATCCGTAATGGAAGCTGGTCTCAACCTGGCTGGACAGTGGGATCACCTGGGAGCTCCGACAGCACCTGGGCTTGGACCCCAGCCCCTGAGGCACATGTATTTAGTCTGGAGAGGGGCCTTGCTGGTTTTCTTGGTACCTAAGCAGATGCCCTTAGGAGATCTGGTTAAAGCATTCAGCTGCTAACCAAAGAGTCAGTGGGTTGAATCCACCAGATACTCTGTGGGAAAGAAATGAGGCAGTCTGCTTCCATAAAGACTTTCCTTGGAAACCCTTTAGGACAGTTCTACTCTTTTCCTATGGGTCACTATGAGTTGGAATCAAAATCAACAGCAATGGTTTGGTTTGAGCTTTGCTTCTGTAAAGATTTATAGCCTTAGAAACCCTGTGGAGTGGTTCTACTCTGTCCCTATAGGTCCCTATGAGTTAGAATTGTCTCAATTGCGGTTTTTTTTTTTTTTTTTTTTTTTTTTTTTTTTTAAGCAGATGCCCTTAAAATAGCTGGGTTTCTTCTTCTCCCAGGCCTCTTCTGGTGAAAGGTTGCCGCTGTGGATGTCAGAGGTGCATGAAAACACCAGTGTGTCTCTGTCTTTGTACTGCAGGTAGGCAAGTGGGAGAACCAGACTCTGAGCCTGAGGCATGCCGTGTGGCCGAGGTACAAGTCCTTCTCGGACTGTGAGCCAGACGACAACCATCTGAGCATCGTCACCCTGGAGGAGGCACCCTTTGTCATCGTGGAAGACATCGACCCGCTGACTGAGACATGTGTGAGGAACACGGTGCCATGCCGGAAGTTTGTCAAAATCAAGTGAGTGTCAATCAAGGGAATGCTGTTCATGGAGTGTTCCCATCCTTTTAACTCACATATGTCATTGATAATATCTGTAACATAAGAGTAAAATGTAATATAAGACACGAACCTTTAGGGGAGTGCAGATGGTTAAGCATGCAACTGTTGGTAAAAGGTTGAAGGTTCAAATCTGTCCAGAGGTACGTCCGAAGACAGACCTGGTGATCTGCTGCTGAAAGGTTGGAGCCTTGAAAACCCTATGGACACGTTCTACTCAGCACACATGGAGTTGGCATGAGTCGAAATGGACTTGCCCTACAAGTCAGTTTGCCCAGTTCTACCATGACACACGTAAGGCCACTATGACTTGGGTTGAGAAGATGGCAAATTTTTTCTCTTTTAATTTTTAAATATTCTGATTGCTTCCTTGTTCAGTGACAGCAATGTTGTTACAATGAAAGAAAGAAAGAGTTCATATTTTCTATCAGAGTCTCCAATGAAGGGTTCTTCTTAATCCACAAGTCCTTCAGGGATGCTTAGAGCATAAAGGACAAGTCCAAGACCCAGGTCCTAATGCATTTCCTAATGCAAACATAAGCAAACATACTACCCCTGTGGGACACTTAGGAGGCCTGGTGACACAGTGAGTGGTTAAGTATTTGGCCGTTAACCAAGGGTCAGTAGTTCAAACCCACCAGCTACTATATGGAAGAAAGATGAGGCAGTATGCTTCCATAACGATTTACAACCTTGGAAACCCTATGAAACAGCTCTACTCTGTCCTATAAGGTTGCTATAAGGCAGAATCAACTCAGTGACAACAGGTACAGGTGGGATATTCACAAAAAGAAAGTCCCACAAATGCATGGAAATCTACCTTTTTTTTTATGGCAGAAGGACTGTTTCCTGATCACCTTCTTTGATCTGGCTAATTCTTACTTGTCCTTTAAGTTTTAGCCACTGCATCCTCAAGTTGGGTACCAAAAAAAAAACCAAACCCACTGCCATCGAGTTGGATCCAACTCATAGCGACCCCTCCTTGGGTTTCTGAGGCAGTATCTCTACAGAAGTAGATTGCCCAACCTTCCTTCCGAAAAGTGGCTGGTGGGTTTGAACCGCCAGCCTTCTAGTTAGCAGTCAAATGCCTTAGACACTACACCACCAGAGCTCCCACAAGTTTGTTAAAATCACCCTCTTCTTTGAAGTTGAAATTATGAATAGATCTTTTATTTAAAAAAAACAGATAAGCATTTAGCACAGTTTATATGTTGGGTACAGCACTAGCCATTGGGCCACATCACTGAATGAGATAGACAAGGACCTTGCAGTCACAAAACACACACAGTTGAAGAGCAGTGAATCTAATGAAGGGACAGGACATCTCCACCTTGTGATAAACTTGTGAAGGAAATAAACGAGGTGGTGTGCTAGAGGGTAACTTGGGGTGTAGGGGGCTACTTTGGTCCACACGGGCCTGTGGTAAGAAACAAAGGATGAGAAGGGGCCAGACAGGTGGAGAACTTGGGGAGGAATCTTCCAGTAGAGGGAACAGTAGGTGCTAAGGCCCTTGGCAAGTCTGGCAGCCAGAAGGGAGCCTAGTACAGCGCAGACATGAGCCAGAAGGAGGCCGGGAGGGGATGGCGCTGGCAGGGAGGAGCCTGGAAGGGATGGTGTGGGAAGATCGTCAGAGGGGGTCCTTACCTGGTGACTTCTTTGAGCAGAGCTTAGTGAGATGAAGAAGGCAGGGTGGGCCAGCACAAAGCAAGGAGTGGAACTCCGGTGGTTCTTGCTGTTAGGAACCGCCGAGTCGCCGACCCCTTCTGTAACAGAACGAGGCATACCCAGTTCTGCACCATCTTCACAGTTGTTTCTGTGTTTGAGCCATAACCTCTGTAGAGCACCTCCTTTAACATATCAATTGTCCATCGAGTCAGCTCTGACTCATGGCGAAACCATGTGTGTCACAGGGGGAACATGCCCCTTAGGGTTTCCAGTGACTGATTTTTTGGAAGCAAATCACCAGGCCTTTCTGCCAAGCACCTCTGGTCAGACTTGAACACATTACCCTTTATACTTCTGTGTTGTTGTCATGTGCCAACTCACAGCAGTCCTAGAGGACAGAGCGGAACTGCCCCGTAGGATTTCGTAGACGGAAATCTTCACAGAAGCACATCACCAGGTCTTTTCTCTGACAGAGCAGCCGGTGGGTTTAAGCCACCGATCCCTCAGTGGGCAGCTGAGTGGTTGAAGATTGTGCCAGCAGGACGTCTGCTTATCCTTACTTACACTGATAATTCTACGGGGCCAGTCGAGCAGGGCCTCCCATGCTTCCCGATCAGTGATAATCAATAACAAAAATCAGAAGCCTTGCAGCAGAAACCAAGTAGGTCATCACATCCAGAGCCACATTTGTATGAAGAAAATGAACCAAAATAACTTGCTTTCTTTAGAAGAACTGGCTCTTCTACTCGAGGATATAAACAGCGCGTAGGCTCAAATTCACGATTTTGGTTCCAGTGAGGAAGTGGAGGCTCACGGTGTCCTTTTGCCCATTTGAGGGCAAGAGACATCTATGGACATTTCCATGATAATCAGTCTTTGACCGATAGAAAATAGCTGAGGCCCCCAAATCCCACACAGGCTCGGGCAATTGTGTTTCTTGAAAGTACAAGCTTTGGGGCACGTTGATTGGTTCCAAGAAAGATTTCTGTTGGACATCGTGACTGTCTTTGTTTTATGGACCATGTTCTTCCAGGGAAGACTCTGTGTCTCTGAGAGCCCAGAAATGAACTGAGAAATCAGACTTTTCATCTCGCCTGTTAGCTGGCTGTTAAAGTGTGGAGAGAAAGTTCAGGAAAAATTATCTGGGCTCATGTGTTGGGAGAAATGGCCATGCTGTCAGTTAAAACCCAAAGCTGTCACATCACTGGTGGGATGAGAGGAAATTTCTTTTTAATCGCTATGTGACAGCCGCTCTGCTGGGTTTCACTGAATCTTTCTGACTACCCACCAGGTACGAGTCAGCCCTCTTGGTTCAACAAAGCTCCGTGAGCCAGGAGACTTGTCTGAGTTGAGGTTTCCTGGTTGTTGGCACAGACCCAAGATCTGAACCTAGCTCTGGGTGCCTCTCATGGCCATGACCCCACTGGGAAGCCGTGGACCCAGTAGACTGGATGAGTTATGGGACCCTCTTCCTGTGTTTGCTTTTATGAGTGTCTCTTTGCTTTGAGTGATGGTGGGGAGCTAAAAGAGAGTGCTCGAGGGTCATTTTCAGATGTCCGAGTAGTTAAGGGAACCCTGGTGGCACAGTGGTTAAGTGCTTGGCTGCTAACTGAGAAGTCAGTGGTTCAAACCCACCAGTGGCTCTGTGGGAGAAAGACTTGGCATTCTACTCTCGTAAATATTACAGCCTTAGAAACCTAATGGGTCAGTGCTCCTCTGTCCTATAGGGTCACTGTGAGTTGGAATTGACTCATTGGCAACAGATTTTGTTTTTGATGTAGTTAAGTTGTGCACCACCCTTTCCCCCCACACAAGGGCTGTGATAGGAACTAACAGATGTTGCCAATTACAAGCTGGTCTATGTTTCCTTAATCCCTACAATAATATCAACTATTGCATCTCTCTGACATCTTTTTTGACTGTGTCTTTCACGCCTAATTCCTTGTCTTGCACAATGTAGGTTCTTGATGGGTGTTTGTCAGGTGAAAATGCCTTGGTGACCATCTGCACATAGAAATATTGGTGTCTGGGAGGTGGAGACAGTTAACCCATAAGCTGGCTGAAGTTCCCAGTGAGGTCAAAGAATGCTCTATATGCCTGTGACTCCGACTCTGAAGCCTGGGACGTTCCTAACCTCTGTCCAAATTCTCCCAGGAATCTTGACCCGGATGAAAGAAGAGACTGTGATAGGAGAAGGGAGGGAGCAGAAAGCGAGGGAGGGACACGTGGACAAAGGGGAAGCAGCATCGCTGTCTTCATTACTGCATCCCTCCTAACCTGCCCCTGACCTTTGCTCATCCACCCTGAGGCTTTGGCTAGGACCACCCTCTCTTTCCAGCCTGGAGGCTGGGTATCTGCTCTAAGCCCACCACCCTCAGTTTGAGGGATGTAGGAGGCCACCTCAGTACATATTTACATATGATGGTTGCTGGCTTATACCTGGGGGGTAAAGATTATAACGTCATCTCCCACACTCACTGATGTCCACA